GACATAAAATAATTATTTTTATTGTTTGAAAATATTTATTATGATACCATCTTTTATATGATATTTTTATTATACTTTTATAAACATTTATAGCTACTAAGGCTATATAAATTTTTATTTTACTTTATATTTTATTAAAATATACTTACTTTTTAATAATATATGTTAAAAATTCCATATATATGAGAAATGGGTTTTTTATTAGTGAAATGGGGTTTTTCACAGCTCTTTTACATTTAATAATTTAAGTTTTGCAAATGTAAATTTTTGTTCAACTTATTATTTAATCAAGTGATTATCAATCAGATGATTTTTTGGTATTACAAAACAATTTTAAGTAACAAAATTGTGAAAATCAATCAATAATGCAGAGTAGACAAATCAGCCCATATGGAAAGTTTACAGGACTTTTAAGTTACAAATTTATGAAAATAATGAAATATTACAGCGTAATACTTCAAATATTTATACTTAATGCAATTTTTCAAAAATTTACAGAACTTTTAAAATATTATGATTTGTAAAGTTGTAAAATATTACATTACAAACTTATGAAATATTATGGCAGAATCCTGCTTATTCCTAATAGAAGTCCCTGAAAAAAATTTCAAATTTACTAGTAATTTTACCAGCAATCCTATTGGTTAATTGATCTAAAAAGGAAAAAAATCATAATAACTTGGTGTAGTTGGTTACAAAATCTTATTAATGTATAATTATATTTAAAGATAGTACTCATCTTTGTACATGTTTATTATTAGTTTTACATAGTATTATTTGCTGCCATTTTTTTAAGTTGATGGTAGAAAATTAAAATGCATTATTTTATGTTATACTAATGCTGGTAAAATGATTATAAGACAAAGTATAGGAAAATGTTAATTCTATATACTTTATTAATGCATGTATTCAAAAGTCTCAAAATGATAATATATTAAAATTTATTTCTAAACATTACAATAATATTCAAAAAATTCAGGTTCAAAATTATATACAAAAAAAATTGATAAGGAAGCAAAATGTGAAGCTGATTCTTAATTAACAAATACTAATTCAAATAATGTTGTAAAATTATCTGATGGATGTGTATATAATATTAATGATATTAAAAATCCATTAGTATATTATGGTAAAGGGTAGCCTCCTAACAAATGACTAAAAGTTTTTAGTAAAGAAAATAAAGTGGATATTAAAAGGAAATATACTAATGTTAGTTGTAAAAAAGATAATATTGAAGTAAACAGTAATATTGGAGGATGTAAATGTGGTATATGTCATAAAATGGAACATTATACTCCTAAATGCCCTAGTAAGGAAAATGTAAAGTATGATTAATTGTTTTATTAAATAATATATAGATAATGTATAGTGATAATCTTATATAAAAATTCAATAATAAAGTATTATCGTAAATCACGTGATTTTATAAAGGCAACGTATAATATTTATCGCTCCAGGCGACGAATAAATTTTTTCTTAAAATAAAAGCAATTTTTATTGAAATGTTTTGTATATTATAAGTTTTCAATAACCAAAATTATAGTTAATTTAGTATTTAACTATGATTTTTTATATATATTTTAACATATTAATATATTACAATCTATTAAAGAAGCTTAATTTTTAATAAAAATTATTTAATTACTATTTAATTCAAGAAAAAACATATATATGAATTGCATTTTTAAATAAAAATTTGCCTTATTATATTATATTGTATTATTGATGATGAGTTTAATTAATAATGTGCCCTTCTATCAAAGTTTTGATTTTATCCTCAGAATAACCTAAAATATTACTCAGAACTTCATGTGTATGTTGCCCAAGAGTTGGAGGCGGTAATCTTATTCTTGGATCTTCTTTGCTATATTTAACAGGTATTCCTATAATATAAAGGCATAAGAAGAACTTTCTAAATTACACAATATTTATATAGGAAATTCTAACCTGTCAATTTAATCTTTCCAGATTTTGGATGTTCAACTTCTTGAATCATTCCACGGGCAATAACTTGAGGATGCTCAAAGGTTTTTTTAATATTATTGATTGGAGCGAATGGAATACCTTTATCAGAAAAAACAGATAACCAATATTCAGTATCTTTTTCAATGAATTTTTTTTGTAATAAATCAATCAATTCTTTTCTATTTTTGACGCGATTTGAATTTGTTTTAAATCTTTCATCTTGTAATAAAGTTCTTTCTTCAATGGCATTGCATAAAATTTTGAATTGTCCATCATTTCCCGCTCCAATTATAATAAAACTATCTTTTGTTTTAAATCTTTGATATGGAACAATGGAAATATGTGAAGTTCCCATCCGACTTGCTTCTTGATTAGCAATAAGATAATTGCTGCCAATATTTGCTAACGAAGCAACTTGACATTCAATTAACGAACAATCAATTCTTTGTCCTTGATTTGTTCGCATTCTTGATATAAGTGCCGCCATAATAGCACCGTGCGTGTAAAGTCCTATATTTTATATACAATTCAGTAAAATAATATATCAAGACCTCGATACTGCAATTTCCATACCAGTTGTTAAATCTATAATATATAGAAATTAATTTATAATCATATTCATATTAAGTTATTAAGAGGATTATTTTATACCCGTAATGGCTACTCCAACTTTAACTGGTTCGCCACCTTCTTCACCAGTAATATGCATAAGGCCAGCTTCAGCCTAGCCTCAAAAATTAATAACTAAATTTATATCGTAATAACATAAAAATAAATAATACATACTTCAACAATCACATCGTATCCAGCACGTTTTGCATAGGGGCCTGTTTGACCATACCCTTTCACAATTTTTTTTTTAAAAAAAAAGATAGGATGGCAATTTTAATTTATACCTATTATACATAATGGTCACATAGCGAGTTATTTAAGTTTTAAAACTTACCAGTAATCGAAGCATAGATCAACTTCGGATTAATTTTATTTAATTCTTCATAACCTAGTCCCAATTTATCTAATTTACCTGGAATGTAATTTTCTACTAATATATCACTTTTTTTTATTAAATCCTTTATTATTTGAGCACCTAACTGTGTTTTAAAATTTACTGTGATAGATTTCTTATTTCTATTAACGGCAAGAAAATATGCACTTTCAGGGCTGGATTTATCATTAAGATCTTTATTATATGCCCATGGAGGACCCCATGTGCGCGAATCGTCACCATGTTTGGGGTTCTCAACTTTGATTATTTCAGCACTGAGCAATGGATTAATTATATTAATCATTAAAAAGATGAAATTATAGATAAAATATCTTACCCAAGATCACCCAACAACATTGTACAATAAGGACCAGCTAATGAAGCATTTAATAATAAAAAGTTAACATATAAATTAAAAATTCCGTACAATGTATAATAATATTTACCCAAAATACGTGTTAGGTCGACAACACGATATCCTGCTAAAGGTAAGTTATTTGGTGTTTGCTCAATTTCTTTAGAATTGATAGCAATTTCTGATTTATATCGACCAAAATTACAACGAATTCTTGAAATTGATAACGCTAAACCGGGTCTTTTATTGATCAGATTCATCATTTTAAAGAAATCAATTGATATAAATCTACATTTTATAGATTTTTAGCGTAACACGTGTTGTATAAGCTGTGTGATAAACAAAAATTGCGTAATGGACAGCTGATTAGAACCTTCTAGTCGAGTATGTAAAATATAAATATCCCACTATCTCGTTTCAATTTTCTTGTTTTTCACTTTTTTTTAAAAAATAAAAATGGAAGACTGGGATAAACAAACTATTATTCGTAAGAGAGCTGAGGTTCCCAAGGTTACTAAAGGTGCTGCGGCGATAAATGCAGCTCGTCGTGCTGGTGCTGTTGTTGGTACAGAACGTAAAGGTACTGGCTCAGTTCTTAGGCTGTTTAAATACATTATTCCTCTTGTTTTTTTATAAGAACAAGTTAAACTAACACATTTTTCGTTTTTATAGCTACCGGTGGTACCAATAAAGGACATTCTATGACAGATCACCAAAAAATAGCCAAGCTTGATCGAGAAAATGAAGTAGCTCCGCCACCAAAAATTAGTTTGTCAGTTGGTAAAGCTATTCAACAGGCTAGACAAGCTAAAGGGTTAACACAAAAAGAACTCGGCCAAAAGATTAACGAGAAAGCTAATATTGTGAGTAACATCAGAAAACATTTTCTTTTTTTATATCATTTGATTATTAATTACTTATTATTTTCGTAAGATAAATGATTATGAGATGAGCAGAACTATCCCAAATCCCGCTATAATTGGAAAATTGGAAAATATTCTTAATATTAAGCTGCGCGGTAAAAACAGTGAGTATAGCACTAGATATAAATAAGTCCGATTTTAAAATTTATCTTTTTTTTTTTTGAATTAATGATTTATTTGTTTTATTATTAGTTGGGGAACCCAAACATAAGTAGTTTTGTAAAAATATATATTTTTTTCTTCCCTACTCAAAAAGTGAATCGCTACATTTTGATTGTGTGATTTCGAGGAAATTTGAATGTTTTAAAATTGAGAAAAGATCATTGGTAAGATAAAAAACAAAATTAGCATGTTTTATTATTCACAAAAAGTTGTTGAGCCCATTATGGGAGACATTCAAAGTGATTATATTTATGAAGTGCTAATCATCAGTAAAGAGGTTTTTTTTATCATATGATGGTAGTTTATGTGCGAAATACATTAAACTTGAGTTTTTTTTATTAATTTTTATTAATTTGAAGTATCAAAGAATCAATAAATATCAATTATTTAAGCATAATGTAATTTTGACTTTCCTTAACATTATGTTTAAAATTAATTCTCTATACTATAGTCTATAGGTTAGAAAATTACTTAATATTCTTAGAATGTTTGTAATATGATAAAATGTAATCAAGCAAACGAATTTGTTCAAGCTGTGTATTTTCCGAAGATGGCTGTCTTCTTTACATAAACATGTGGAATCACTATCAATTTAGTGGGTAATTAGTTTATGCCCTAAAGAACACTTGTTTAAAAATATTTAGCATCTAAGATACATTCACATCCGAAGCAATAAACTTATAAATTTATTACTTTTCGAGCCAAATTGTTGAGAAGCTTTATCTTCTGTTTAAATGTTATTATGTTTCACATGATAACAATATACATACACAGTATTAAAAGTAATGCCCATTCTAGTATACTTATAATTTTATTATTGTTATGGATTAACATCACATGTCTTCCACAGACCACTTATACGCTTCATTAGCGAGTGTAGCTCTAGCGTTTTGTTTTTCAAAATATTGTCTTTCAAATCCATTTGAACGATCTGAAATGTAATTAAATAAATATACTACTAATAAGGAACTAAACTAACAAAACCAAATCATTTTGTTACATACCAATACCATCCCATCTAAATCCCGGTTGTATATTAAATCTATTAGGTGGTGCCGGTGGACCTTGATATCTTGGTCTCTCATTAATTCTCTTTTTATTTTTTTTCTATGAATTTATGTGTATGAATAAATCATCCTTAAACGATACATATAACACAAATTAATTTCACGAAAATACCTTAGTTAAAAACATTTCGGCTGGATCATTCCACCTTTCCTTAGCCTTCAATTCTTCATTTAAATCTTTATCGTCTTTGTAACTAAGAAAAGAGATGTTAGAAAGAATTCAAATTAATGGTTATAAAGTAAATTAAAAAATATATATTACATCGCTAAAGGCTTATTTAGTAATTCTTCCTCTCGACGAATTTCCTCTTCTTTACCCCATTTTAATAACTTTTCTTCTTCTTCAATCTTACGTCGTTCTTCTGCTCTTTTTGCTGCTTTATTAATTTTAGTACCTATAAGAATTATGTGTGTGTCGAGTATTAATATTTAAGTTGCAATATTTGATAGAAAATTTATTAAAGCATACGTACCTTTATTATCGCGATATATAGTAGCTGCACCACGACCAGATGATGAAGGATCCATCTTATTCACTAAATCCTTTTCATCTCTCTTAGCTCGTTCTATATCTTTACGCACCTTGTCAGAAGAGTGTAAACCCACGTCTAAACCTGAAGACGTTTTGACAGATGGTGAGGAAGATGTTTTATGACGTTTTGGTATAGGTTCCTCGGAAACTTCAGAATTATCTTTGTTATTTCCTTCATGACTCATATACTCAAATAAATCATTAGAGGCATTTACTATAATATAAAAAAATAATCAGTAAGATAAGAAATGTGCTCTATTATTACAAACGAGCATACAATTTCTAACCAATTTGTGGAGCTTCGTCTCCTATATCTTCTACAATAGGCTTCCACTTGCTGGATTGTTGCGATTCTGTAGAAACTTCTAGAATAGAATAACCAATAAGCTAGTCTCCTTAGCATAAAGAATGATAATATCAATGAATTACCGACTATAGGAGCATTCTCGTCTTCTTCGTCTTCCGAACGAACATTTTTCCACTGTCCAGTAATATCCTCTTCATCAATTATCGCCACACTTCCCAGCTTATCAGCTGTAGGCGTAGATTTTATTTTTTTCTTTTTTTTCTTTGTAGTTTCGATCTGTGAAGTTGTAGATTTTGCGCCATATTTTTTGGCGAGATAGACGTTGAGAGAAGTCATTTGATTATTGGTTGTATTTTTGTGAATAAATAAAGTAAAAAAAAAGCGCGTTTAGTTGATTTTATATGAAATTATATATTTAGCGGTCATTTGACCTATCTGAGTCAATTAATTTGACAATAGTTTATCTGTTAGATTTTAGTCACAAACAAAAAGTTATTTTCATCCCTACAAAAACACCATTCGTTCATTTTTGATTATTGGTTTTTTTGCACCATATTAACTGGACATAGAAGTTATACTTTTTAAGAATTTTCAATTAAAATGAGCGGTACTTTAAACATGGCAATTGATGATTATAGTTCTAATAGAAAACCAAAGGGGAGATCATCTCGAAGGGGTGGACGTGTTTCTTCCGGAAGTACTTCAAATCGCAGTGCTCGTACTAGAAATGCCCCCTACGTACGGCAGGTAACTATAGACTTCTCAATGTTTTAAAGCGCAATTTACTTAAAAGAGAGTATTACAAAGGTTTATTTGTATTGTATAGGTGAGTTATTAGATTGTTCTATTTCAAAAGACAGCTTGCATTTTTTTTTCAAATTTAATCAATAAATCCATAAACCTTTATTTATTAGCGTCCTCCAAGAGGTGATATAAATGGGCAATGGTCCCACGATCTTTTCGAGGACAGTAACTCTAACAGTCGCCGTTCAAATGCAACCAGTTCTCGACGAAATACTTCTAACTCTAATGGAAATAATAAATTGATTGTGGAAAACTTATTTTATGAAGTAACTCAAGAAGATCTTGAGGTTGAGAGTAATTTTAATTGTTAATATACAAATATATACGTGTATATATCATTTTTATTAACAAAATTGTTCTATGTAGGAATTATTTTCTGAATGTGGTACCGTAAAGAAAGTTTATATACACTATGATCGTGCCGGTCGAAGTACTGGTGTAGCTGATGTGGTTTTCGAAACACCATCAGAAGCCGAAGCGGCTCTGCGGAAATATAATGGAAAGACACTTGATGGTATTGTATCGTAATGGATATATTTAAGTTTATAATTTTTAATTAATATTTTATCATTGATATTTTAATTTTGTCCGTTTAGGACTTCAAATGAAAATTAAATATGCTCCGTTGAAACCTACACAAAAAAATGCAACCATACGCGGTTCATCTAACTCTAATGGTGGCGGCTCAATTATGGATCGCTTAGGTGGTATACCAGTGTATGTGTTTAAAATATTTTACTTATTGTTTTACTACAAAATACTTAGTAGATCAAATTTGTAGTAGTATACACAATTATTATTTTTTTTTTTGCAAAAAATGAATCCGTATGTTATATTACATATACAGACACGTTGACTTTTTCCTTCTCTACTTGAAATATTACAATCACATAGTAAGTCTGCTCGCGGAAATATTCGAGAAAGGCTAGGTAATTCTTCACCTGCAGCACATCGAGGTCGTGGTCGCGGACGTGGACGTGGCAGTAATAATTCACAAAAACCGTCTAATCGTAAGCCTGTCACATATGATGACCTTGATGCAGATTTAGATGCTTATATGGCCATTGATGATGTAAGTAAATTTGATAAAAGAAATAGCTTTTATTATTAGTTATTCTATTCATATTTTATAAAAGCTTTAATTTTAATACTGTAGGGTTCACAAAATACATCAAAGGGAGTAAATGGAGAAAATGGAATGGATTTGTCATAGCAATTTAAATAGATTGTATGACAAATGATTGGATTTAGAATTCCTCTCATTTTTTCTCACTATGTACAGCGAAAAACTCTTATGATTTAATATGAGCATTTATTAAATATTTTTTCCGTGTTTTGTGGATTATGATGCTCAGCAGGAATTTATTTTATATATTATTCACAGAGATTCTCTTCGCTATTTATGAGATTATGCGATTTAGAAACATTGTTTCTTTCTTTATCTTATTCATATATAAAGAGTTTTAAATCTAGACCTAATCCTTTTTTTAGTGGTTCATATATTTACAATGTTTTTTCACATTATATTTTAGTATATACAAAGATGCAATAAATCAATTAATCATTTTGTCAATTTTGTCAATAGAAATCTAAAATTTTGCAAGCAATAAAAATTTAACACGATCTAATGTAGTTATGTAGATAATTTCAATATTTCCTTTGTTTAATGTTCAACTTATTAAGAACATGTATAACCTTTTATAAACGTATTTTTAAAATAATAAGAACCGGGTATAATACCGGGTTATTATTCAAACAACACACGAATGACACTTAGTAATGCGTTATACCGTACTGCACCAAATAATTCCAAAGTTCTGAAGCGGGTAAATGGTAAGTTTCGTAACAAATTTTTCGTTACGAAACTTTAATATTTTTTTTTATTTTATAAAAGAACGTTTCTAACGTTCTTTATCTTTTATTTTTGTAGGTTTCGGTATTTGATGGTTACGGGGCATTTCGCCGAAAGGACGGTTCACCGAAAAATAGGACCAACATTATGCAGCATTATAAATACTCAGACCAGAGATTATTTTTCGGCGAAATGGCTTTCGGTGAAATGCCCGGGTAGTCAAAAAAGGTGGGTATCTAATTTATTTATTGCTGAGAATAAAGAATAGGACAAATTTATCCTGAATCGGGGGTCCAGGTTCTTTATCCTAAACAGTTGCGGTCTAGGATAAGAACCTGAACCCCCGGTCTATTTTAAGGACACTAAAGAATAAATAAAAAAAAATAAAATCACATGATACGAACACATGATTTCTGACTGTAATGATTTTTTACCCCATGCCGTTAGACAGTACAGCTAAAGGGTTGGTTGAGTATTTTGTGTTTTTTTTAATATAATTCTTTCCAAAAATCGAATAATCTCGCGTTTATATAAACTTAATTGTTATCATTGTTTGTTCTCGTCTTCGATCCAAATAACTCCATCCGGGAGTTTCGTGTCTGCTTGTTATAAAATTTTCTCGATTCATCATTATTATTACTTAAGTTTTCAATTAAAAATTCTATTATAGAGAAGAAAAGAAAAAAATAATAATAAGGTTAATTAAATTTATGGATCAGTTATGACTAAAGCTAATCCAAGTTCTGCAAGAACGCTCGCTCACGAGTAATTTTCGGCCACTTTCGGAAGATAACTATTCGATTTGACCAATTTTAAAAGTTTTAATAGATATAAACATATTTTTGGAAATATATTCTATAATTTTAAAATTATACTACATGCTTTAAGTTGTGATAAGTTTGAATGAGAAGTTTATTAAGGAGAAACTTTTTTACAACGCGCATAAACATAATCTACCTTCATAACGAATTTGAGGCGCAGGATACGCAGGGAACTATAGTACCCCAGTCGCACCGATAAAAAATTTAGCGCAGGGCCGGCGTTACGGCGTTATGACTAACACGTGAAAATAAACAGTGACGAATAAGCTAGGGGTGTGGGGGGTCCAACTGGTTGGTTACACGATATAATTTCGTATTACCAAACTGTCCCACTACCGTCACCCCTGAATTTTATTATTTTAATATATCCAAGACAACATTCCAAGCCTAAAACTTTTGACGCACAACGTTTCTAAAAGCCGATGTTCGAGAGTAGATTAGTGTTGGTAAGAGTCATATATTGGCAAATTTTCATGACTATTAGAGCGTTATTGGGTTTCTCAGGTCAAAGTTTTAATATAGCTTATTAGAAAAACTATTATTTCGAAATATGTATTAAAAAAATTTTTTTAAAAAACAATGAAAAATATGTTTTTAACAATAAATATCACTTTTATATTAAAATTTTATTAAATACATTCTCTGTTATTAGTGAAAACTGCATACAACTATTTATTGTAGACATTTACTATAGACAATATTTTTTTCAGTTTTTTTTTAAAAAAAAAAGGTTTAAAAGTTATTATAAATTAAAAGTCTATATAAATAACGTTTTCTTGTAATAAATAAACTTGTTTTACTTGTTTTAGACTTCTAAATATTGATTTATTCATCATAAATACTAAAATAAAACTGCCGATGTTGTTTTTTTCTTCTCAGAGAAGGTCCAAACATTATTTAAAGTACTTGGACGCGACAAAACAGACGTAAAGATCACGTTTCAAGGATGACATAATTGGGTGGCTGGTTTTTTTAATTGCAGGGGTATTTTGTTCACCGATCATCGTAATTTACTAATAACGTATATGAATTTATATGGAGGACAGTTTTGATTTATTAGACTTATTGTATATTATATTGTGTAACCAACCAGTTGGACCCCCCACACCCCTAGGGTGTGACGATGTGATGAATTTAAAATATGTCACGTGATCGAAAATTTTTGTCGGTGACACTGGGGCTGGGCTAGTAACTTCAGGGATAGTTTTTTAATAGCTTCATTATAAAAAAAAATGGGTTAAATTTTTTTTGTAAAAACGATTCTATTACTAAGATCAAATAGGATTTTTTATACTGTAATAAACTCATTTTTTTAAATGATTGAAAATCTTATGGATAGATGGCAAAAAAGGAAAAATTAAATGTCCTCACAGTTTTCCGGTGTACCGTCGGTACTTTGTTAATTAAGAATGAGTACACGGGTGTTCTTTCTTACTACAGTAACAAATAAGGCGACAGACTTAGTTTTTAAATTCCGATGACCCGGTAAAAATTTTATGTTCAATTCTTTTAAAATTGGTCAAATAAAACGAGACTGAGAATTAATCGTGTGATCTACGGTCTCAATTAGTTGATCGAGATGATAAAAAATTTTACTATTGATTTTTTCACGTGTCGTTGGGGTGGCCAGTCAACTAATAAAATCAAAACTTATGTATGGTATACAGAAAAATACTATAATAAACTTTATTAAAATTGATACATTTTTTTCTCAATATTTTCGCTCTAATTTCGACAAGGACATTCCAAGTAACTATCCTTTTAATAAAATGGGCCGATTTTTTCATTTTCACTTCGAAATTAATAAAAATCTATTTCAGGACAACTTCTTTCATAGAAAAAAAAAGCTTTTTTTTTAGTATTTTCAAAAAACAGGGTATTTCATTGTTCTATAAGTTTTCATGTATTCAATTGAACTTTTCGCACTACTTAAAACATAATAAAACGCAAGTTATCGAATTTTTAAGGTTTCGGATTTTTTAATGGTAAAATGCCTAACAATATAATATAATAAATAGTTTATTGTAATTCCATCGGATTTTATGACGGTTAATAAAATGCATTTTTTTAGCCAAAATCCGATTACATCTCTAATATTGTGATCTATATAAAACCGATTCTCTGTTAATGATTTACAATTAATAGTTTGATTTTTTTTCCTGATTTGTAGTTATGATACTGTTATGATTTAACATAGTTGACTGAGAACAATTTTATTACTCCGTAAAATAATTACCATTAAACCAGTTGTTTCGATTATATAAAAAGCTTTTTTTTTTAATGCACATAAAAATATATACCAAATTGCGTATATCGAAATTTCTAGCATACTGTATACTGTGCTTATTTTTTTCTGATATATAACTTCTCACTGATTCAGGCGAAACTTTACATGTTTTTAATAAATGCGGCTTATTTTTTTTTAAATTTTGAATAATTCATTATTGATTCATTTATATTAAGACATAAGCATTTTTATTAAAAAAAAAAATTATATCGAACACTAAAATTTCCTAAACACTCAAAGAAAGATAAATATAAGGAGAACAATTTTAAAGCTTATCGCGTCCGGTATCAACAAAGTCTCGCACGGCATCACGTGTTTTATCAAGAGGGAGGGCTGTCATTCCGGCTAAAGAAATAATTTAACGCATTAACAAGAATACAAAAATTTTTCGAAAACATATATAATCCGAAAAAAATGCTTACCTAGACTTTCTGCTGGTGGTTTGTCAGGTGCACTAGGATGAGGACTAAGAAAATTCATGTGGTAGGTAAGTTAGATCTTCAATAAACCCGAGGAATTTAATATTTGGAATTTTACTAACTGAGTTGGAGCAGTAACACGAGTTTTGGCAAAACTTGCACCCAAACTTTCTAATTCATTTTGAGAAATGGTCTCCTTGAACTTCGGCAGGAAATCGGATTCTTCTTCATCAATATGGTGTACTAATTCCTAAAAATTACCACGTAACATGCATACATTAATGCAATTGATTATGCGATATAATACAAAATCAATAAATATATGCCTTCAACATCTTTCCGAATAATTCATGGTATCCATTATCAGTGACTTTCATTGAATCCAACTTGTAAAGATCTTTTTTGACCTGGAGATGTTCTTCGCGGCTATGATCCGCGATTTCCTTGCCATTAGTAAAGTGCCTTTCAAACGCGGGGTATAAGTTAATTTCCTCACATGCTGAATGAACTGCGACTTTTAAAATTTATAAAAGAAAATATTTTTATTTATCACGTATATTAAAACATATTCTATCTATTTTAATATCCTACTCTCGCGAATTACGGTGTTTGCGATTTTTTGACGCTCATCCGTATTATTTTCATTTTCGTACCGTTGCGCAAGATTCCTGATGATTTTGTGGTCATCAATGATTTCGCTAACTATGTCTTTCGTCATCTTTGAAAAAGGGGTAACTTGAACATAAAAACGGCGAAAATTCAATAAACTTCTCATCCCATTCATTGTAATATTCGTTTAAATTGTTAATTACTTACTTGGGCGAGTTTGAGGAAAAAGAAAGAAATACGTGCATTTCTTATAAATAAGACAGTCGTGGCGAACGTGTGAATTATTTTTACAGTGACGGTTACTGACGTAAAATTCACCATCTGTATGAAAAAACGCCCACTTAAATTTGTTACGCGTATAATAAATAAGCTTAACTAATAAGCAATTAAAGATGTTTATAATGTAAAGAGGTTCCTGTTATTTAATCACACGGTTAGGTTCAGTCTTTTGGTTTATCGCACCATGCTGGATAATTTAGTAAGTCGGCGTTTTTTTTTAATCATTTAATTATTACAATTAATAATAAATATTTATTTTTAAGGGATATTTTCATTCGATCGATGAGTTAATAATAAATTTTTAAATACTATTTTTTTTTTTGCTCCTAGGCTCATCTTCGGCTTCAGAATGGAGAGTCCGGTATATAATTAATGCCCGATAAGAATTATTTTTTTTTTTATAAGGATAGGAAAATTTTGTAAATTGGCGTTTATTTGTTTATCTGTTTTAAATAATTTAAGTTATCCTAACCAATTCAGTTAGGCTGGAGATCCTGGGAAAGTTTTCGCGGCCAAACCTTGAACAAAGAGGTATTATATCACTCGGTAAACCTTTTTTTTATTATTAAGACTAACGTTGGTATGACGTTTATTTTATCACACAGCATATGAATTTTAAAGTGTTGTGAATCGTTATTTGACCAATCAGCGTTAAATTGATCAGCCGAAATATTTGATCATTAAAAATGATCGATTTTTTGAATTGCGGACCAGTAAATCTCGTAATAAAGAAAATTCCCCAAATCACCATTTTTAGAAAATCCAACCAGATTCGATGCTAAGGTATCATATGATAATACGTTTCAAAAATCAACATCGTGATTTCGTCATAGCAATTTATAATGTGGTTTGATGCTATATGAAAGATTCATAATTGTGCACCAAAGCTTTACCCATTTCTTTGTTCGCTTTATGCATCCTATAATGATATCCTGCTAGTCTGCCTTCTTTTAATATTACTGTTATGTGTTTTTTTATATGTTCACACTATAAAAAAAATTCGGATAAATAATCATTTTTCTAGTTTTATTCCGAAGAAACTCAGACACGTGGTCATTTTCTGAAAAATTTTTTATAGGTTCACTAAAATTGCTTTTAACAAACAGAAGCTACTCTAATCTAGCTTATTTAAATTTAACGCATATAATATTTGTGTAAGAGGTTGTTTTCACCTTTTATTACAAATTGGTTAATACTGATGCAATTGACTATAACGCATCATATACTGTATCAGCATATTGATCTACGCTTAATTTTTCACTTCACTTTGGAACTAATGTGGTTTCTTGTAAAGGCTTTATAATTAATCAATCAATATGTAATATTTCAAATTTATGCATATCAACTTTCATCAATATTTACCTTAATAAATTAATTTTTTAATTTTTTAATATTTCAATTCATAAAATTTGACGTCTGTTGAATTCTTTGAAATCTATATCACAACCACTAACATTTTAATTGAATGATACCCAAACTTGGGTGCCGAAACTTTTCGGCTATATGCCGAAATCAAAATACCTTTCGGCAATTTGCCAAAATCCCAAATTGTTGGCTAAATTCTATTGGCCAATTAGGGTCACATAACGTCAGACAGAATTAAGCGATCAACACAAAAATTTCCTTTTTTGGAAGACATGTAAAAAATTTCCATTTTGATGGTCTTGTGTAATATCACATGACACACTGACCAATAGTATTTGGCAATGATTTGAAATTGGAATTTGGAATTTTGGTAAAATTTTAAAACTATATCAAATATATATGTTAACTCTTTCTAAATGCATTAATTTCCTTGGAACTATAATGAAAATTTGAAAAACATGCATTTAAAAAGGAAGTGCAATTAAAGAAGAAAATTTTATATGATTTCTATATAGTAAGTATATACTTAAAATTGAATAATTTAGAAAAAATATATATAATACATATAATATATACTTAAAGAGAATGTACTCAGAAAAATTAACAGGACCCCAGACATTACATATACAACAACTCCATCAGGAGAATAAAATAAGTGTAGATCTACAAAATAATACATATGTGAAAAACTACGCAAATCTATACCATTCGTGATAATATACGAGTGTGAAAATTTTAGAGAAATTTTCAATGATATAAAATAATGTATTCTTAAAAATGACATAGTTTTTAATAGTAAAAAACAATGTAGTTTAACAGTAAAAATAATAAATTCTTTTTCTTTATAATTCTTTTCTAACTTTCCTTTACTTGTGTATCTTTCTGATATTTTTCTACATTTTGTTATTTTTTTTTTTACTTATATTAAGAGTCAAACTATTAATTAGATTTTATTTATTTATTTTTTTACCTACACTAAGAGTCAAACTAAATATCTCAAGACAAATTATTAATATATTAAGTCTCATTATCTAACCACTACACTATTTATTTTTTTTTTAAAATTATTAATATTATATTTTATATTTATCTTAGAATAAAGACATGCCTAAACCTTTTACCTTTATATTTATGTATTTATACAGTTTACTCGCTTTATAATGAATTTTGATTTAGCGGATTTCTTAATATAGCAGATCTTCAGTGTTGTACCGATTTTAACTTTAACATATAAAAAAAATCTTGTTATACCAAATATTACTAATAAAATGCTGTATACCATTTAACGAAGTAATCTATAGATCGTATAATATAAAAATAACTCTTATTATAATGAATTTTTCTTTATAATGAATTTTTTTAATATAACGAAGAAATTTTGTATAATATAAGTGCATACGTTATATGTTGTTATACAATATACCGCAATATACCAAATTTTCCAAGCCATACCAGATTATTCCAGTCATGTTTAACAAATTTTCTTATGTTATAATACTATACCAAATAATTCATTATAGAAATAACAAATTTTCTTATAACGAAGGTTTGATTGGCCAAACCACTCACTTTGTTATAAAGTGAGTAAACTGTATAATTCTTTTAAAGTATAGATTATGAAAATATATTACCAAAGTTACCTATTTGTATAAATTTTACATAACTTCAAATTTATTTGAAATATTTTTACATTTTCATGTATAGGTTATGCAAAATCATGTATTTATGCAAATTTCTAAAACGTAAATTACTGAAACTACCTACATGTATAGAATTTATAAAACTTTTTAAAATACAAAATTGATGAAGTATTTCTTAAATCATTTTTATATGTAGATTACTTAAAATCATATATTTAAGAATTTTTTTCAAAGATGTAAAACTTTGAAACTACCTATTCATATAGAATTTATGCCACTTTTTAAGATATGTCTTTTTAAATACTATGTTTAAGTGTAATTTATACAAAAATCGTATATTTATAGATTTTTATGGAGCGTAAATTTTCAGGGATTATATATATTTGATAACTTTACGCTAATATTCACTTCATATAATTTCCTGATGGCAGAGAGTAACTTTTTGGTTTGTAAAAGGCATACGCTTGAATTTTATTAATTTTTACCATAAGCTACTTTAGAAAATACCAGGTATTCAAGAAAGAACCACAACAAAGTGCAGAACTAACTAATACAAGAACAAATAATCTTCTAAAAAATACATAAAAAGAAATGCTAAGATTATAAACTTAACACCCTTTTTATATAAATAACAACAGCTACTTCCTGAGTTATATCTCAAACAAAGTAAAGTCGACTATGCTATACATATTCAGCAAAGCATCCCTGCTACATTTAAAGATTGAAGCATCCAAAGCTAAATACCATTAGCACTATCAAAAACGCACAAAATTCAATTTTCCCTATTTGACTATATATTATGAATAACAAACTTACTTCAAAAAGACCTTCAAAAACTTTTTAGTATTATGCAGTCTAGCCGCTAGGAGAACTTTTTAGTGTCATACCCTATAAAAAAAAATTTCTTTAACATGTACTTAAAATATACTTATATATTTTTAAAATATATCTAAAATATACTTAACATTTTAAAATATACTTAAAATATACTTAAAATTGCAATTTTAAGTATATTTAAAGTGTAAAATTTTGTACTTAAATTATACTTAAATTATATTTAAATTGCAATTAAGTATATTTTAATATAATTTAAGTATAAAATTTCATACTTTAAATATACTTAAAATTGCAATTTTAAGTATATTTTAAGTACATTTAAAAATTTTAAGTACATTTTAGATATATTTTAAAATATATAAGTACATTTTAAGTATATTTTAAAGAATTTTTTTTTTTCATAGGGATACAATTCTAATAGGAACATCTACCTCATTTTGAACGATCTCTAACAGAGAACATCTACCTTTTCTGAACAATCTACAGTCAAACCTTGATATAACGAACCCTTGATATAGTGAATTTTTTAGACAACTATAATAAATTTCCCCTTACTATAACGAATTAACTAATCAAATCTCTTAAAATCTTCACTATAGTCTTATAGTAAAGTTGAAGTCTAGAACCTAGGGTTTGTTATAATAAAAGTTGACTGTATTGGCCTAAGATCTACTTAAATAAATCAATCCAATGATAGTTCAACATGTAACCACCTTAATCGACATACTACAAAAACTGCGGTACCCAACCTATCACTCCTTATCACTTAAGTGATCATCAATTTTGAAAATATAACACCAAGTCACCATAACAATCAAATTTTCCAGTATTTCTTATCCCTAAAGAAAATAAAATTATACAGTCAACTCTTGTTATAACGAACCCTAGGTTTCAGACTTCAACTTTGCTATAAGGCTATAATGAAGATTTTAAGAGATTTGATTGGTTAATTCATTATAGCGAGGGGAAATTTATTATAGTTGTCTAAAAAATTCACTATATC